GTAGGGAACAAGGGAGGAAAAGGGACAGGAGATAGATGGGAAGATATATACCATTCCGAGTCTGGCACATGTTGCTATTAAAGAAATCCATCTATACCATGCAGAAATCAAAGTCCAGAAACCCTGTGCCTAAGACTTAATCTGAAGTTTTTATTTGAAGCCTGCATAAGCCTACCTAGGTAGGAGGATTCTGTCTGCACAGGCCCCGCAGTGCACAGACAACACTCATGGTCCAGTGTGTATGCAGTTAAGGATTTTGGAGTGTCCTGCTTCACTTCCAGACCGGGGGACAGCGATGCTGCCCCCAGGGCAGCTGAGGGAGCTGCGAGGCACTGTGACTCAGGCCAGGCAGGGACCAGCAGCAGCCTCCCTCTTCCTGGGCATCCAGGAACCTCAGCCGCAGCCATTTACTGGGTAATGCCGCTGAGGGGATGACGCTTCCTCTTCCTTTACTTGGGCTATCTCCAGCTACATGCTAACCCTCACTTCCCTGCTGGTATGCTCCACAGACTTCAATTACACTTTATTTGCCTTTATACTCAAAACACACAGGTTCTGTTGAAGGAGGCAAAGGGGGAAAACGCACCCTGGGTTTGGTGTACTGCGAAGGATGCTTTCAAAGAGGCTCAGTCCCAAATCTCAGATTTGTACATACTGTAGGGATTAGAGGTGTGAAGAAGCTTCTAGGGATCTTTTTTTGTTGTTATTAATTAGGTTTTTTTTTTAGTCTACCATGCATGCTCAAAAACTTAAGTGGTTTCCTTAGCAGAATTATAATCCTGCCATCTAACCCTAACTACATTTTATGAACTTCTGTGGCGTTTCTGAACCAGTCTCATGCACTTAGTGAAATACATTCAGGAATTTAAAAACAAAATGTTGAAGAATGAGGACAGGCATATCTTACCTCAGCAGAGTTGGCTGAATTCTGCACACCAGCAAATCCATGTCCTCCAGCTGAATCAAAAATCTATTAAAAATATTACAGATAAATAAATAGGTTAAACAAATAAACTCTTTTTATTTCTTATCTGTGTTAGGTAAATTATTTGAAGAAATAAAAATTAAAAGTATATTAACAAATATATATCAACCTGCTAAACCCCAGGGATCTTGTTGTATGATTTATTGCTTTGTTCTGACTAGAAGTAGTGTTAAAGAAATACAAATGTCACTCTATAAAGAAAATTTAAACAAGTTTCTTTCAGGGTACATGGACACTCACATTCAAATAGGTATAACATGTCCTTGTTTTTTTCCTATCCACTGTTTAGCAATAAGATTAAAGTAACATACTTTCAAATCACACACTATGCTGGAAGTTACAGTTCCACCCTTCAGGACTCTGTTGGGTACAGCTACATATTTCATGGTGATTTAAAGGAACTATTTCAAATCAATATTGCTGTTTTCTAAAACTTCTCAGCCTATAGGTTTTTATCTCTTCTAACCAAGCAGTTAGCTTGACACTATCAATGGAAACTTTTAGCTTCGCTTTAAAGGCATACTTGACCCAAAACCCGCACTATTAAGTAACGAAAATAACTGACTACAGTGTCTGCTTTGGAAGTGATGAAAGCAGAAACTGAGACTTACATTCCCCATCTGTTTTAAAAGCTTAACTACCAGTATCTCACAAAGATGTTGGCTTATTAATGAAATTCTTAAAAATCCAATAAATGGCTGTGGACACAATCAGATATTTTGGTGATACGGGTTGTATAAACACATAGATAGATCTATACAGTTTATGCATTACAATTTGCAGGTAGTAAATAACATTACCCTCCTGAAGCACAAATATAAATACAATTTTTTAACTCCTTCTGCAGTCAACAAATCAGGACAATATCGAACTTATATCTGAGGGTTTAGGTTCATTTTTTTAGTTTGGGTTTTTTTTTTGTGGGGGAAGGGGGTATGGGGGTTTTTTGTCCTAGCAAAAAACTTTTGGCTAATCCAAGACAACAACAAACTCTGTCTTAAAATTTCATCTCAAATCCAGTTTCTGCCAATGCAAATAAAGGGCACCATTTCTGAACTTCCTCTTCCTTGTCTCACCCACAGATGCAATCAAAGTATTTTATTGTTTATGATTTCTCAAAACAGTTTATCATTTAGACACAAGAAAGCAGATAAGCATTTAAGAAACTGAGGATAATGTGGGCCTAGACATCCCCCATCTGCTATGGTGCCGTTTTATTAACTGATTTGTAAAAGACTGAGCCACTTTGTTAATGTTTACAAAAGCCTCTCAGCATAGAAACTCTGAACCTTTTTTTTTTTTTATTAATACCATAAAATTAAATTTAGGATAAAATTAAAAACTCCTCTGACACAACAATGTTTCAGAACATACCATCTAATTTTGAAGCTAGGGTACAGTGGATCAAAACATACCAGCTCCAGCCAAATTAACTTCAATTAAATCCAAGAATGTAAGACATTTTTAACCTATTATTTAACACAGACATCACAGCACAATGAGCAGAGGAGCAAGCTCCACTTCTCTGCTTAATGCAGTTCCCCAGTGAGCTGAAAGGGATGACAAGAAAGGCAGCCTCAAGCCTATTCTGATTTTGATGTACAACTATGTGCATACACACAAGTCTGAGTAAGGACGTGGATCCCTTCTCAGCCACCTTCTATCTTCATGGGTCAGTTTTCAAACCATGCCCTTAAAAATTCCTCACTTTTATGGGTATGAGTCATAGCCCGGTGTTACTCAAATGCAACACTCAGCATTTACATTTCCTTAATTTTATTGTAGGATGTTTAATAAAAAAAAAAAATCAAATAAAAGCAAGAACCTCAGCTCATGGATGAAAATGAACACTTTTTTGGGCCAGCTGGTTGCGAGGTTTGGATTAAGGAGGGTGAGGACGTGCTGGGGGCACCTCTACCTGCGCCAGGGCTTGGAAAAGCACTCTCCTTGCTACAGAAATAAGATTCCCTGTCCCTGAGCTCTGCAGAATCCCCTTCACAGGCTATAAAGCATATGGGAGGACGTATTACCCAGTTAAAGCAGCGCGAGGTATCAGCTCCACTGGGAACGGAGCTAAGAGGCATAAAATCCCTTCCCTAAGGCCTCTTATTAATCAAGAAATAGAGGTGCAGGACTCACAGACCGGCCTCACCTGCTCAGGAGTTTTATTATGTCAAAAGGATGACCCAGAGAAAATGTCTCCTTCAGTTCCCTCTTTCATAAGACAGATTTGAGTTTTATTCTTACTCCATTTCACCGTGTAAACACAACTTGATCGATATGCTAAAACACGTAAGTCTCCCCACGACTCTTCATCCCAGTGTAACACATAGACAAATATTTACCTATTAAAAATACAAACCACTAGACCAGAAAATCCTGACGTGTTATTTTGCAACATTAAATCTGTTGCATCAACTGTGGGACTATTGCAGCATGCATAGATAGGCTTGTTTAAGTATCCCGAAGCAGATTACCAAACATGCAAGAACAGCTAGTTTTCAAGTGCTGTTCATAGATTTTTGACTAATAAAATCAAAATGCAAGGGCCAGGGAACAAAATGATCAAAGACACCTAATGAACAATGCATAAAACACTGCTTTTCAGTTGAAACAGCAGACATGGCAAAGGCCAGTGAAAATAGTGATGTTCTGAGCGTAAGATGCCGTAGTTTCATTAGCCATGCAGCCCTTCAGTGGGGGCGGACACCAGCACAGCCCCTCTGCCCCAGGACCAGGGCCAGCCTGCCCCAGCACATCAAACCTCCTCCAAGCCTTTAGCTGGTGTGAACAAGCACAGCTTCATCAGTCAGCTGTCTGCAGCTACAGCCGGCCTCCTGCGTGACAGCAGCCTACTCCACTTGGCCAAAACGTACTCCGAAGCAGCGCATGTTGCTTTGAGAGGCCATGTCGAAGACGGCGGTCTTTGAAGCAGTCTCTCCCCTTTTTCCCTTGAGGACTCACCTGTGTTACTCCATATTAAATTCAAATAGTAGTTCCGAGTCCCAGTCATAAGCCAGTAAACATTGTGTTAAGGACAGCGCATACACACTATCTCCAAAGAAACCCTACTTCCAAACAGTTTGCAATGTGCCAGAAAACTAGTTTTGTTACAAATTCCGACCGATGGTCTTGTGTTGCTGATAATAACCTAATCCACCGGGTCAAAACCTCTCATTCACCAATCTTGTTTATCACAAAGAAACTCAAAATTAGATATATACCCTTCACAAGTGATTCTCCCACTGCAAGTCTGCCATGTCTACTGAAACTGTGAACAGAGTTTTCATGGCCACATATCTCCTGCCCTGGGCACCAACAGCACATTGCAGGATGAGCCCCAGCAGAAACAAGCCCTTCTATGCCATCCCCAGCAAATAAGATCTACCTGAGTTATGGAAGGTCGCTTTTCTTTTCCTTTTCTTGCCAACGTGTCCAGTCCTTTCAGCGAAGAAAATAAACCCTTCTTATTTCGGACCCTTTGTGACAGAGATAGGGTACGTTTCCTGAGAGCAGCTTCATCCCTGGAGCAGATCTATTTAAACACAGAGACAGGCCTTCCTATATCACTTTCGTAAGAGCAAAATATTGACAGTTATTTCAACCTGAGACATCAAATGAGAGTTACTTCAGTTCACCTCAAAGTATTGTGCCAAGGTGCAAGGACAGTGTTTTAAACTTGCAGCAGTGATGCCTGTTTTGGTATTCCAGTAGTGTAATAATGTCATTTTTTTTGTCATGGGGTTAGAAGGTCATGGGAAGGGAGGAACTGAGAAAGTATTGCTCTGTACCACAAAAGCAGCTAATGAAAAAGCTCTGAAGAAGACTGATAACCTATCATTCAGATATGAAATTGCTAGTGGAAGAAAGACTCAAAATTGCCAAACACAGGTGATAAACATGCTATGGCAATGAGTTATTAACAAGCAATGACACAAACCACACAGACAAAAACAGTGGCAGAGGGAAACACCTTCCCTGATGTGACTTTCAGGACTTCCAGATTCACTTCTCATGCAGCAAGCGAGGTTGGCACTTCTCTGCCAAGATCAGCCTCTGCCAAGGTTGAAGAGCAGAGGCGAACCTGCTACTGCCACACTTCCCTTACAGCTGACAGGGTGACAATAGCTTACAGCAGCTGAGGACCTCCCTCACTTCTTCTCTGTGAACAAAGCCCACAGTTCTTAAGTGACATGGGCCTGTTGGAAAGAGCCCAGAGCACGTTTCCTATGGAGACAGGCTGAGAGAGTTGGGCTTGTTCAGCCTGGAGAAGAGAAGGCTCCGAGGAGACCTTACTGCAGCCTTCCAGTACCTGAAGGGGCCTACAAGGAAGTTGGGAGGGGACTTTTTACAAGGGCCTGTAATGACAGGACAAGGGGTAACGGGTTTTAATTGAAAGTGGGGAGGTTTAGATTGGGTATCAGGAAGAAGTTCTTCAGGGAGAGGGTGGTGAGGCACTGGAACAGGTTGCCCAGAGAAGCTGTGGACGCCCCATCCCTGGAAGTGTTCAAGGCCAGGCTGGATGTGGCTCTGAGCACCCTGGTCTAGTGGAAGGTGTCCCTGCCCATGGCCGGGGGGTTGGAACTAGATGATATCTAAGGTCCCTCCCAACTTGTTTTAACTTATTCTAAAAACACTGCCTCTTCAGGAGGGTATCAAACTGTTTCTAAAACATGGAGCTACCTGGGACTTCCAAAAAAGATCAGATGAGCCCAGACGGAGCTGAATCACTTTTAGAAATTTCAGTGTTAGGCTCTATTCATTCTAATTGAGTTAGCTTCTACACACTTTAAACTTTCAACTCAGTGAAGGTGAAATCACAGTGACAAAACTTCAACACAATGACTCATTTACACGTGAAGAATTTTGGTTTCTTTTTTTTTTTTTTTTTAGGTATAGGTCAGAAGTACCCAAGTCTAGAGTCCTCAGGGGCCAAAAAGAAAATCATGGCCATATCCTCATGGTTGCAAAATCTGCCTCTGTAGAATAAAGTTTATTTGCAGTCTTGGAACAGGCAGAAAGGGTGAGAAGGGAACCGGGCTGTCTGAGCAATATATATGGGTGCAGCCACATATTACCCCAGCACAATTCCACATTTAAGTACAATATTAACTATGGCTTTGTGTAATGCACCCGTGAAAAGAGCATGTGGACTTACCAGTGCGTGAAAGGATGAGACTGAGAAAATGCCGAGCCTCCCCAGTGCCAGTTTTGAAGGACGACTGGCAGCAGCTAAAAGGCTCTTTGGGTTTGGGAGCTCCCCACCTTGCAAACTGGCTAGGTAACATCGCATTCGGAAAAGGTCCATGTTAAATTTTTCCAGGTTCTGTTCCCATTGCTGGATCTGTTTAGACATAAAAAGGGACAATTAAAAGGGGGAAAAATGTCTCTGTGGGCTGCTCTGAAAATTCAAGCTCTTCCGCAAACCCATAGTAAATTACTTTCATCTGGTAGTATATGGATTAGATTAGTTATTCCCCGCCAAAACACATTCAGTCATATTGTGTTACATCAACTCAAAAGATGGCTTGAAATAAAACAAAGCTGGTGGTCTTAAATGCATACTGACAAGAAGAACGTACCATGAACTTCGGGTAGTTTGATAGCCACAAAAGCAGTTACATAAAAACACAACCCTGTGGTTCACAAAGGGGTTTTTTTTGTTTCCCCCTTCTCTCTCTCCTTTTGGGAGATTAGTTCTGTTTCCTTCATTTTTACGAGCTTTGATTGTATAGCTGGCTGGCTGAAAGCAAAGCAGCATAGCTACGCCAATGCACTGAGCAAAGTGAAGTTAGCTACGTTGATAGGTCCTGCTCATTCTTTATTATCATCCTATGGCCTCTCTATCTGTAAACAGGAGACAATATTGGCAAGAGAAGCACGTGCAGTTCTTTCTCTGACTAATAGGTTAAGACATGCTTACGCTCAGGCAGACTGCAAAAATGAGCTATATATGCCCAATACAAACCACTGGACCAAAAGCAAGAATGTGTACGCACCCTTCGTGCAATTTTTAAACATATCTAACACAGGTACATGCAGATGTAGTATCTGCACAGCTTAATCCAGTTTCAATGTAGAATTAGGCAAGTGAAGATACTCGAATATATACTAGACGGAGGGTCCGAGGAGACCTTACTGCAGCCTTCCAGTACCTAAAGGGGCTATAAGGAAGCTGGGAGGGGACTTTTTACAAGGGCCTGTAGTGACAGGACAAGGGGTAATGGGTTTAAATTGAAAGTGGGGAGGTTTAGATTAGATATCAGGAAGAAGTTCTTCACAGAGAGAGTGGTGAGGCACTGGAACAGGTTGCCCAGAGAAGCTGTGGATGCCCCATCCCTGGAAGTGTTCAAGGCCAGGCTGGACGAGGCTTTGAGCAGCCTGGTCTAGTGGAAGGTGTCTCTGCCCATGGCAGGGGGGTTGGAACTAGATGATATCTAAGGTCCCTTCCAACCCAAACTATTCTATTCTATTCTAGACAAATAAATTTCCAAATCACGGCTCGGATGACAGGTTTTAAGTATTTGTGTAGATACACACTCATCCACTCAAACACATACTCTTCCACACTGCACAAAAGTAAAATTTTGCTTTTTATTACCCCAACTTACAAATCAGTAGTTGCAACTAAAATCTGTCCCACAGTGTACAATATACATTAATACCAATAAACAGTACAAATAAAACGGCAGCTGTGTGTAACAGAGTAGGCACATTCAAACTTGGGAAGGCAGAAAAGGCGTACCCATCAGGTTAATGTACACCAAGTTCATGAACTAAAGATGGTTAAAATCTCCTGACGATGCTAATCTTACAGTGTCAGCTCCAATCACTGTGTGTTGGTTGTTCAACAGGTGTTTTAGGGCTGTGGAGGAAGTTGGTCACGTTTTCTCTAATGTACACTGACTTCAGACCTTTCACTGGCACGCCCTGCCTGTCCCAGTGCAGACAGGACATTATCACCGTACATCGAGATTAGCCAAGGTTGGGGCAAGCACTTTTGTGACTCAGAAAACGAGCTGATACATATAATAAAAATCTCTGGTGAACTATGACCTGCAGGTTCATCTAGGAGCAAAATCAGTTGAGTTTCCTAATAATGCTGCCAAATATCACAGGAACTAAACAAATATCTTGCCTCTTGCTTTCAACAATGAAGAAGTGAGCAATGATGGTGAGTCCCTGTTAACAAAGTGGTGCTAAAGCTTGTCCTATGACTGACAGAGACCTTACCTGGTCTTGGTTTCCTTACACATGTGCTCACAAACTGAGGCATCAGTTATGGCTATACTTTTTTGTAAGTAAGAGGTAATCTCATTTGGCAGGGAGGGTGAAGAAAGGGAAGACAATATACTATTTTTTACATGTGCAAATGCAAAATTATAATTTACAGTACACTAAAAAAAAACCCACCCCACAACTTTCAAGGAATGACTATTAAAAGCAAAAGATCAAATTTACAAAAGCTTATCATGAAAGAGAAATTCCCCAAAGTCCAGAGAAGAAGGACAGAGACATACACATAACAAAGACGCCTCATCTAATCTCTCACCACAGACAGTCCAAACACAAATCCTTTGCACCCCAGAAAGAATAATCATTTTTTCTTGGGTTTATTTGATCACTGCCATTTATTTTGCTTTCCTTGTGTTCCTAGACACTCATCACAGAGCATTTGTCTGCTTGCCAGTACTTTACAAGTGGGACAACTCCATCAGGAGGTTTTGTCATGAGGTCTTTTCTCTCTGTGTTGACATGCAACTAAAACGAAAACACGGTTGTCAATTTTTCACAACGCCAAAAGCTACAAGCTCAGGTGAAGTCTTTCCCTTTGGGTGACACCTCCACGGGTACAGAGCCAAGCCAACTTTGAATAGCTCAGGAACAAAAAAAAGGCTTGTTCTGGGCGCTGCTGGAGTGGAGCATCCTGTCTCCATTCAGCAAGGCCTGAACACAGGCATCCTTGTGTTTTTGAGGCCTTCTTTGAAATCCCTATTAAACATTTGTACTAAGCTGTATTTTAAAATAAAGACAATCTAAGAAGGGGGAGTAGGGTACAACATGAGGACATTCTGAAGAAATAATTCAATTACAGTGTTTATCACTCACGCAGGATGCTAGCTAATCAGCTCCAAAAACATCAGTAATCATGATGTTACATTTTATGGCATTAGCAAAAGCTGTAGGCAGGGAAGTTCTGGGATTGTCTTGTAGTCTTATCAAAACCAGGGATGTCTGCAACCAATTGGAGACCACGAACCAATACCAGCTGCTATTTGTCTAAGCCTTTTAAACTATGATAGTTCTTCATAAAGATTTATATTCTTGAAGACTAAATGGGGGAAGCACACAAATAAAAAAGCAACAACTTCAAAGCACAGTATGACCTGGCCCATGAAGTTAATTTACAGCCTACAGACTAGCTGCTGTGATCCTTATTCAGCTATTGTGTGAGGCAACCCTCTGCCCCACGTGGGAAGACTGCCCAAAAGATGGCTCAAGGACTTAACTTCATCATGCACAGAGAAAACGGCTCTTTTGAAATCTGCTCAAAAGCAAACAGGGAAGAGTGGATGATGCACCAGATTGGGTGACAAAGGCTAACAGCAGCACAAAGCGAGTCTGCAAAGAGATAAGAGATACGGCCCGACGCGAGGCACGCCAAAACAAGAGGGCACACGTGAAACATCCCCACGTGACCTGCTGAGCTCTGCACTTGCCCACACCGCCAGGTCCAGTGCCCGGGGCACCCAAACCCAACCTCTCCCAGTCACTCTTTCTAAAACTCCATGTGAATTTCTAGGAAAAACATTACAGGCTTTTCCTAGAGGAACAGGAGGATGTAATTTCTCAGTACAAGCAAATGTTAGCCAAGGATTTCTGGGTTTAGTGGCAGCATGAGAGAGCCTAGAAGAAAGGCAAGGAGGGGCCACCCTAATAAATGTATTCAGCCTAATAAGAACCCTGTGAGGTAGAGTGAAAAGGAGGCTGTGGCAGAGAGACAAGGAGGAGTAAAATGTGGGAAGCCTTAAGAATTAAGGACATGAATTATTTAGCCTGGTCCACCAGCACAGCTCCTGCAAGGAAGCCTGGTGCAGGGACGAGACAGTAATTACACGGAGAGTGCTAAGTGAGAGGATGAGCTTTTGCATCAGACAGTTCAGGAATGGGTTTTTAAGAGGTAACATACAAAGGAAGATCAGCGTGGTACTTTTTGTGGTACTTTAGCAATAATGGTGATTTTCAGAACATAAATAGCCAATTCTCTAGGTCAGGGAAAAACAGACACTAAGAAAAAAATTAAATTAAGTACATCTTAAATCATACAAACAGATGAGCTTAAGGAAGATGCTTGAAAGCAGGTCTCTGTTAATTCAATAACCCTGCTAGGTTTCCTATAGGTAAATTCTGAAGTGGGAGATTGCGAAAGGCAAGAGCTAAATACTTTCAGAGCAGACAATACAGAGTAGCGGTTTCCAGCAGGTGACATGAGGATCCATAGTTACTACATGCTACACAGTTGTCTCTGCAAGCGACATTTCCAGTGGCACCTTCACCTCCACTTGAATGCTCTTAGGGTTTTGCACACTGTATAACTGAGGGCCCAGCAAAGGCAGTGCCAACAGTGTGGCTCAGGGATGGTCCCTGGCTCCTCACCCTTCTTATACTACAGTGCAAACAGCGTCTTTTGGGGGGCTGTGAAGGACTGTCTCTTTTTCAAATAGCGGTCCTGTACAAAATAAGAACAGCTCAGCGTAATAAAACCCAAACCAGTACATGAATGGTGGAAAGCTGTGCCAGAAATTACACTGTATCAACTTGAGGTAGCAATAGTTCAATCACCTAGAGGAAAGGTGGAAGAAACTTCCTGGACAACTCACCTGATAACAAAATAAACAAAGTTTTCCACTTGACACTTAAGGCAGCACAAAAGAAAAGATGCAGAGGGAGGAGGGCCTTCTTCTCAGTGCTTAAGCCTTTAAAAATGACTGGATCTAGCAATAATTCTTATACCATATAGAAACACAAGCTCCTCGCTGAGACAATTCATTATCTATAGCAGCAAAAAACCCTGAATTTTCCCCCATCCAACATCATCTTCCCAGATGGAAAGCATCTCTGTGAGCTGATGTAGGGAACTCCATGTATTTAAAAGAAACTTCTGCTGCTGTTTTATATGAACAGCTTTTCAACCACATTACAAACACCACCAAACTCTTTGCATTCCAGTCATTGGTTCTCAGACACAATTCATATTGTACCCATCTGGATAAATGAGTCACTTGGTTTCTGGGGACAAGGAAAAGATTTTTATTGTCATTACTTCCTAAAGAGACCTCGAAGAAGCAAAAACATCATTCTCATAGAAATTCCATTACTTTAAAGGACACTACAGAGATACTGTCACAACTTCTAGCTCAAAGAAATACAAAAGGAAACATAATAGAGTACCACAAAGATGCGCAATTAGCAATACCCTGTATTCTTCATTCTGCCCAGTGGCTTAAAAAATGGTGACGAAAACTTCCCAAAACAACATGACAACAGCTTGGGTTCTTCACAATAAATGCCATCTTTCTGCTTGTTTTTTAAGGGCAGAATTTTCATCATTTCAAACCAAAACAGACAGATGAAAACTTATTCTCGATACCACAGATAGCACAAAAGTGCACCCACGTACACGCAATTTACATTCTTGTCAATAACCTGATTGAAATTGGCAGTACCACATGTATGTCTACACCTAGGGATGTAATTAGGAAAGCCACTGAACCTTACAACCCAGTTGCCCCTCTCCAGCAAACAGAAGACCAGCCGGTTCTGCACACACTCCCCCAGCAGCTTCACCTTATGCGACAATGCTATGCAACTCCACATTCAGTTACAGCTTATTCGTTTTTCATTTATTTGATACTAAATCTTTGTGAAACAAATAGGGAAATTCATTCCCAAAACTATTCCAATCATCTTCCGATAAATGTGAAAGAAAAGATGAAGAGTCAGGTACATTTTAAACAAAGTAATGAGGTTATGCTCTGTATAAAAAGCCAAAGACAACTACAGAGAAGGGAAGAGAGGTACTAATAGATATAATGACTACCCAGAGTAAACAGACCACCACCTTACTGATCCCCCTATTTTTTTTAAAGGCAACAGATAAACTGCTTTTATTTGGAGGACGAATATGAAAGCTCTCATTAACAATATCTGCAAGCATGTGCCTGTTCTTCTCATTAATGTCTCATCACTTCAGTACCCACAAGTAAACTTACTTATCAGATGGGTTATGAACACAGGTATTAAGTGTCATGTGCACAGAAAATATAAATCACAACAGAAACCTCTGAATAGTTTGGAAAACACAATTATACCAACATACTAAAATTTGAAAAAAAACCCAAAACAGAATGCTTTCAAGCAATTATTATTCACATTATTGTTCTAAAGTGAGACAACAGAATAGATTTATGTATCAAGTACATAAAGAAGTATGCCCAGGGCTGCAGTGCCCTCACTGTGAGGTAGAATTTTCCACCCCATTAAAACCAGTTCTACAGGCACAGACAGACCCACTTTTGACTTAATATGCCACGTTTTGTTAAAAGAGCTCTGAATAAGTGCTAATAATCCCCTTTCACTAACTTCAGTAGCAGTTAGATTCCATATTCACAGTAAACACTGTGATTTCTCTAGCAGGTTAAACAGCTAGGGAAACCGAAGTTTTTTTTAAAGACAGGCTTTGAAATTCATCTCAGCGCCAGGGGATTTTCAAACTTGCTACCTTTCATCCTAATTCTCTTCAGTTCAAGGGAAAAGTTACACCCTGGGGGAATAACACCACCCACAACATATTTATTGCATACAGTAATATAAACGCACGTGGCTGTAGGTAGTATGTGCAGACTTGGGATTTCCAGCCATGGCACCAGAGGCCTACTGGGACTGGCTGCTGTACGTACTCCTTTCAGGTGATGGTAACTGTGAAACAAGAAATGGTTTTGCTTGCTTGTAAAGCCCTGTGAATTACCAAGTCTCCAGCGGAGAAGTATTGGTCTTAAATCAATACAGACGTGAAAAATAAAATAGAAAGTTGAGGTTGGGTGGTTGCTCTTCTGAGGGAGAAGAATGAAAAGGAGAAAGGATAGAGAAATCATAGTTTCCAATTCCTCAGTGGAATTAAATTAAACCCATGCCTTGTCTTTCTACATAAAAACTCACTGTGGTCCCTCTGAAGCCAATCACACTATTCCCACTGACTTCCCAAAATGTATCGCCAGTTAAATTTTCCCGCACAGGATGTAGGGCATGCTTATAAACTACAGTACTGTCCATACAATATACTTCAGCATGGAGGAATCATAACTCCCACAAGATCGAAAACACCACCAAATTTACACAAAACCAAACCCAGAATTTATATTCCACTTATTACTCATAGTGGGCAAAAGACAACTAAACAACCACAGTTACTAACAACTGAACCCCACGCATGCAAACTTTTCCCTCATGCATAATGTTTTTTCAAAATTGTTAGCTTAGTGAGTATATTAAGAATTCTGAGTTACTAATTACATTAAGACTTTTTTTCCCCCTTTGCAAAAGCCGATCTCTAAGACATGAAATCAAAAGATTAGGAAACCCAGTTATCTATTGACTTTTCTCTGAAGCGACTTTGCCAACAAACCTTCAACAATTTTAAGGAGCGATTTTATAGAGATCAAAGGGATCAAGACTGCAGAAAAGGCTCATTATAAATTTATTGTTTGCTAACTAGTGGATGTTTGCACATGGATCCATCTCGCTCTTTGTCTCACTGGTTTGCCCTCATTCAATGTTCTGAGACAGTCACAGACAGAAAATTAACAGGAATAAATCTTCTGCAGCCCTAGTGATGGATTTCAGTTCTAGCAGAACACAGCCAACTTCTTCCAGGGACTCAGCTGGAAAACAATGGCAGTTGTTCAAGGACAGAACATCTAATGAGCAAATATTAAAAGAGCATCATTAATACTCCTCAGCTGACTCTAAATAAACTACTAGCATCAGTATCTAATGGAGGGAGGAGTAAAGTAAGTTAATATACATCAGGATTTTTCCTCAGTGTACCACATGCTACAAGCACTACACATCTCCAGAAATCCGTATGTTCTCTGGGTCTCCAAACCTACTGCAATAAAAGAATGCTTAATATTTTTCCTTCTCCATTCTCCTCACTATGCTCTGGACCATGAAATAAAGTGACCTGAAAATAAATTATGAACATCTGAGCACTCAGAGGGCTTCTGAACACCCGCATTACAAATCCCTACACAAACCTGCATACGTTCTGAATTCTGCTCATACAGCTTCAGACGGAGGTGTGCTGCGAGAGCTTGATAGTGAAGTCACTGCCGGTCAGTCTGCCCTTCGTCAAGCTCAAACCAGTATAGTAAGAATTTTAAATATTATAACCATCAAATTAATGAAACTAAGAGAGTTCCACTAATCAAAGAAACATAATTGTGCTATATTGGATCAAAGGAAATAAACTTTGATTGCTACTCAATAGGCCATAATGTAATGGCCTAAAGTAATGACAGGGCAATAGCTACTCTGACTGGAAAGGCAGGTAGGGATGGGCTCTCAAATACCAGCCAGCAAATTCAAATTACCACCTGTCTTCTACTAATGGCCTAGTAAAATAAAAGATACAGCAACCTCACTCCACAGACCTATCAAGTTAAACTATTAGACAAGTTTAGTACATGAGAGGCCCTGGGTAGTGACGCCTTTGCCTGAACACTAAGCATGTCTGATTAAAGCATCTTTTGCCAGTTGCTGCCTGCAAAACTGGGCACATGGGCAAGATGTCAACACCTGAAGATGCTCTTCCATAAGATATCACTGGACTGATTTCTGGTTCACATGCTGGGATTGAGAGGAGAGTAAGGCTTGATGTCCACGCACCACAATACAAACACTGACATGAGCATTTTCACTGAGGAACAATTCTAACTGTTCATCAATCTGCCCTGACCTTTTGTTTAAGGCAGGGTTTGGCCACAATCTTAAGGTAGATACACACCACGAACACTATATTTCAGGGAAGCTGTTCTGCTTTTTGTTTTAAAAACAAATCTAAGTGGTGAATGTCCATCAGCACTAAGCTGCTGTTTCAGCCAAGATTCAGGCATTCCTATCACCGTAATATGAAAAAGTTATCAGAATAACGCATCAGGCTTTCAGAAGCCATACTCAGATTTGCAGGGGAAGACAACTGATGGCTCAGCTCATTTCTTGCTGCAATTAAACAAAATTAGCCTACACACAAGTTGGGATGAAAACATTTTGTCTGCTCCCACCATCTTGCCTTTAGTATGTTAGTTCTCCCAAGGTAAGCAGTGATGGGCCTAGGCTTATACAGGGATAAAAAAATTCCCAGCACACAACCGGAGAGTGTTACAAGTGCTGTTAGTGACTAAGTGTCCCCCTTTTCTTTGAACTGATACTGGTATAACACTCCAGTGGCTGCCAACGGTATTCATGGCAGTGCTTTTCCACCTAGGATGGAAAACTTCAGGCTTGACTTGTTGTCCTCATTTAGGCTCCTGAGAGGCTTTTTAAAAAGTCTACCAGATCCTGGTCTTCTAGTCATGGCTAAATTTCAACAGAAGCAAATAGTTTTGTCTGCCTCAGCCCTTTCTCCAATTTTATTGGGATAAAATACTCTTCACGTTCTGTCTTAAGGTGCAGAATGATATTGCTAAGTACCCACTCTTAAATCCCTACTGCAATTCAATAACAACTTATTCACAGAACATACTGTATATTCTGTGGTACGCTATGTAGCAGGTTGATATTATTAAAAGCTAAGTATATCATAAAACAGTGAAAATGAATTACATTTTTCCAGAAGAGAAAAGAAATAGCTTTGTGCTCATAAACCAGATCAGTCTGATCCTCAGCTTTGAGGAGCGTACCTCCTGCACTGCTCTGATTACTGTAGAAACCTGACAATAATTACAACTGCCATGCCAGCTATCCCCAAGACAATTACTCTCAAGCCTAGAAAGCACTGACAGTCAGAGGCCAAAGCAAGAAATAATAATACGGTCATATAAAAATATTGTTTCCAGTACCTGATTCTCTATGGCCTTCCTGTTTTTTGGATCGCTGACAATTGAGAGCTGCAACTCTGCCATCTTTTTCATCTTGCTATCCATGTCAATCTTCTGGAAGAGACTCTTGGTTTGATTTTTCAGCAGCCTAACAGTGTCCTCTTTCCCAAGCTTCTTTGCAAAGAGGGAAGCACAGGCTGAATGTATGGCAGTAACCCAGTTTTCCAGATCCGTCTGGCTTGTTGCCTGTGAAATAAATCAATGATGCAACATTACAAGCAGACAAGAGAAAAAAAAAATCAGCAGCTCTAGGACATGAAGTGCTTGACAGGTTTACTGAGATCTTAAGCACTTTATCTTAAAACCAGTGAAATAAGGTTTCCTCTTAAAACTGTGCATATCAAGGAACTGTTGGCTTTTCCTGCACTCCATCACAACCTGCCTCTACTTCTTAGGCCTGGAAGGTCTGAGAGCTGCAGGAGCACAACACAGCCCCATAATCTGTGGGAAAGAAGTGACTTGCATCCTTCATCCCTCCAATTAATTAAGGTAAAACTTACCAGGTTTCAAAGATAAACTTCCTATTCTGTAGGTAACACGGCAACAGAGATGATTTTACATGAAAGGTCTGATGAGAGATGTTTGATTACTTAAAAAATGCCAAGGTAGTGGAGAGAGGACAGCAAGGTAAAGAAAATACATCTGCACAAAGCATCTCTGGAGATATATAGAAGTGTGCCTATGAATCGACACAATTTTATGCAGGCAGTTCCACATAATACTGTTCTTTATTAACATTTCCAGTGGTGCAGTTAAACAGACAAGACCTTTAGATTATTCTTAGCTTTCTTTTTTGAACATCTTGCTCAAGCAAACTCTCACTGAGGCCAGCAGATTCAGGGTTGAGCACACCATTCTGTAAGGGTGGAATGCTAACAGATGTAAACAAAATTGGTAGTAAAGCTGATTTTCTAGAAGCTTGTAACAAGCAGGTACCAAAAGTGTTTCACAGCTTTGTGATCTTTGTTCTTACTAGTTCTGAACCACAGCTTGACTGACCCAGCTGATGTAGTATCATATACCTGAACTGATATCGTACACTTAAATCAATATTATAGTAGTATAGCATAATAGTGTAACCATGCTGTTATTTTTAAGTTAAAGGCACAAGCATGATGTGTGTGTATGCATATGTGTATATACAATCATACACGCACATGCATACTCACAAACACATCCTGAAATGGAAACAACCACAAAGTTACATATGCACAGTTACCTGAAATAGGTAGACATCTCCAAAAGAATTGCTGAGACAGAACACATTTTCTTTCTTGGGATGTTCTGGAACAGACTGAACTATACTGTCTTCTGCAAACAGGGCATATCGAGGCAAGCTGCTCTGCTCCATGGAGTTCCTTCCATAGGTCTCATAAAACAGCAGAGTACAACCTTTGCAGTTCAGAGGGACAAAAAACAGAAGGAGAAAGTAAGTTCTGGATCTCCCATTTGAGTTCTCCTATATTAATGCTTTTGTGAACTAAGACACCCTTCAGTGACAGAGAACATCAGTTCTGCCACTCTTTTGAAATTGAGAATAAAGGAAGATCACCTGAACTGTGAAACAGGCAATGTTAATGATGAATTTGTCAATGAAAAGTTGAAACAGACACCTAACAGGGACACAGAAAAAATCCATGGACACAAAAATAAAATAACAAAAGGATACCTCAACATGGAAGTGTTCAAGGTCAGACTGGATAGGGTTTGAGCAACGTGATCTAGTGAAAGATAACCCTATCTATGGCAGGGGGGTTCAACTAGATGATCTTTAAAGGCTCCCTCCGAACCAAACCATTCTGTGATTCCATGAATAAAGTCAGCCTATTAAAAAGTTAAAGCATGTATAAAAGATTAATTCCTGCTTAGTTAAATCGGCTTTTGAGTTTCTTTATTAAACTGAACAAACTCTCTCATAACAGCCACCTAAATCTTTGTATTTGTTGAAAATATTTGCACATGCTTTTGTCTTCAAACAACATGCTTCATGAATAAACTTCTCAGATTTAAACTGGATTTCCTTGAATCTGCCTGCAACCTGTGGACTTAGACAATAAACACAATCTGAACAATTTAAAACATTTTAAAGGTGTTAAATTGGAGCACGTTCAGTCTCAGAGATAGTATATGACATGTAAGGTATAAGACTTGTGTCCAGAAAACAAACTTCAGCCTTGATGATGACAATCCTGAGCATAACAAGAGGAATTACTTCAAGCAGAAGAGACTTGATCCCAGTCCCCAGCAGTACAACTACATTGCCATGTTGGCTTTGGCAGCGAAGCTGGCTCAAGAAGGGCCTGTCCCCTCCATCCCCTCCAGCCTTTCTTTCCTGCCCCATATTAAAATCCACTGTCCTCCGAGATGCACGGATTTGCCTGTCCAAGGGGTCACAAACTGAATTGCATTACTAAAATAATCTAGTTAAAAACTATCCTGTCTCTCTCAAAAATTTCTTAGTCTAGTTGTGCATCAAGAGAAAAATAAGTAAATAAACCTCACTTTCACCCCTGGGAAATGGCAGTTAAATAATAGTGTGTTTGGTGTTTGTGGGTTTTTTTAATTTGGAAGATAAATTAATACTATACTATGGCCAGATGTTTAACCTGCAAGAACTAAGACCAGATACTATAAATCCATTCTGAAAACTGAGAGTAACTTAAGCACTTAACAAAATCTGAGGCTGGTGGTGGATTCTGCAGCAAGGCAAGCCTTCTCCAGAAGATATGCTGAAATTCATTCAATAATTAATTTAGAGAAGACCTATGGCTGCATTACATACCAAGTCAGACTAAATAATCACAGTGGTCCCATAGGTCCTAGTAATCCATTAATATATTGTAACCCCAATAAATATTCAGTACAGGGCTTGAAACTCGGCCAACATAAGGATTATGTTTGCTAGGGCTACAGCATTGTTATCAAAGTAGTCCATTTTTTTGTTGTTTTTCCTTCAAATCAAAGGGGCAACACAACACAGGGCAGCACCAAAACAAAGATTTTGGGTTGACTTGCTGATTTTCAGGCTGTTGTTTTTTCTCTGTGCAAGGGGATGTTGCAAAATTTGCAAAATTCCTTTGTGGACGCTTTTAAAGTAGTTAGGTAAAACCAGAGTTCAATGTTTATTTTAGCAATTCTCTAACATTTACACTTAATACCGTATTAAAAATCCCAGACACATCAGCAAAACAAATGTAAATTTGGGGTGGTGCTTCCTCAAAGGTCAAATCTGAGATCAGAACTAAAATCAAGGCTTTTGGGTTTCTTTTGTCCGCCAAAGGGGATGGATGGGCCTAATAGAGCTTATGGGGCACATTTCCTGTGAAAAGTTACGAGGTGGAATACATTGGTCCTCATACAGCCCAAATCTACAGCATATGAAAAGAAAAAGTCGATCAGATGGAACACATTGCATCCTCCAGTGCTGGCGAATGTACAACAGCTACAAGAAAATGGGAAATACATATTAGAGGTTACTGACCAAACCAGTTGACAACTGAGAACTTTTCAAAGGAAGGAATCCAATAAATAGGAACATCTCCATACTACTTAAGTGAATCTTTTGCTATTACCTATTTCCTATTCTGCCAGTGTCTGGCAGAATATTTAGGCTAAGAGCAAATCCTATAGAGTTGGTCCTATCTGCTCCTCTTAGCAGCCCTCACTTGATCTTCTTTATGACACAGAAACACTTGGAGACCTCTTTATTACAGTCTGCAAATGATGCATGGCACTTCTGGCACCATTTCAATGTAACAGGGCAAATTAAAACAAAAAACCAAATCCGCTCTTGCACTCAGCAGTAGGACTGATGATGGAATGAATGAACTAGATGATCTTTAAGGTCCCTTCCAACCCTAACCATTCTATGATTCTATGACTGTTCAACTGCTTCCACTTCTGCATTTTAGGGAAGTGCAAATTAAGGTCTGGTTTAAAATCCCATATTTCCCCTATGTGTTATCAGAAAGGTAAGTAAAGAGTTGTCACCTTTTATACTGACAGTTCATGTGTACATAAATAAAAATCTTTGAAGAGCATGCGTGTGTGTTCAGGTGTATGGCACCCCAGGTGTATCTTCAGGTCAAGGCAAGAGATCCCTGGAAGCAGCCAGTTTCATAAACTCTGACAGACCCACTGGGACTGATTATTGTCCAAGTAATTTAATAAAAATTTGAACTCAAGGGGGAGGGCACTGGGAAAGCAATTTCCCTCATTAAAACAAACTAATTAGACAGGACAGATGGAAAAGAGCATTCCTCTTGTTAAAGGGTTACTATTCAAGCTCAAGTCTTGGTGGCCCTGAAAGTAGAGCAGAAGCCTCAGGACATGTATACTTTGAAGTCTGGCAGGTAACCAGATGGTTATAAGCCTTCTGCATATTTATAATTAAACACATCTCAACGGACTGCTAAGAAACATGCTGTTCTCCATTTGCATACGTGGCTATTTTAAGTCCTATTTTAAAATATCTTGGCTATTTAAACTTCAAGAACAAATCAAATACAGATTTATTCAAAACCCTGTATAAGGAGAATCAAAGCAAGCACCTTGATCTCGATATAGCGTATTATGAAAACAGAACTACGCCTTGATATTCAGACAGGCAAGTTTATTTTGGCATAAGACATCTCCACAGGACAATAAAGATATGAGGATCAAGGAAATGAGGAATGTATATTTAAAACAGCTAACAAAGCGGAAGAGGTTCTGCACCATGAATGCGGCCATATTACCCATCTGAAGTAAAAAGCGTTGTATCTAATACTTCTTACAATGTTAGAAGTTAGTAAAACTTTTTACAAGAAAAAAAAAACCACCTTTCTTACAGCTGGGGAAATTCAGGTAGCAAGGAGGGACATTACTTGTTCAAGGTCACCAATAAGCCAATTTTATAGCAAAGAACCAAACACAAAGCACCTCAATTCCTTCCCACAGTTTCATTATCCCAGAAATGCATGAGGTACTAGTATATAATGTTCTTCAGTTTAGAGTTTTGATAGGATATTTTAGGAACCACTTGAATTTTAGAAAAGCCAGATCAAACTCATATTCATACTCCATAATGCAAACACATACAATAAGAGAGTGGCATTCAGATACTGTTTTTCCCTTTGTATATGCTGTTTGTAAGCATGAATCATGTTATCTGATGATCAGGATAAGTGATTTAAACTGTTAAGACTGCCTACATTTTGATCTCTTGATAACAGGTCTATGAATTATTAGGGAGAATTGCTACATTCTTGTTAGTTTGCTTCTTTTAAATCAATACTATCAAGGACAACATTCCCAGCACTTGGCGTTTGCTGTTCGTTTTTCTTCAGGTCTACACCCAGGCAGAATTTTGAAAAGGGCAACCTGTGGGAAAGCTGTTATTTTCTCTCCTCCAGTCACAGATATGCTAGGAAATCATTAATTTTGATCATTTCCTTACTCATTAACTTCACATTATATTTACTGAAAGGCAAATGCTTTGGATGTAATTCAAAAAAAAAAAAGTGCCTATGAACTCACCCATTAAATTCCTCTTTCTCCCTACAATAGATGTTATTTTCCTTCTCACAATTCCTGACACCCGTACACTTCTTGTGGCACACCTACCTGCTCAATTACTCTCAGCCATCAATGTGCATGGCGAGCGCAGCACTAAGCGCAACAATCACACCGCATCCCTCTAGTGCAGCCCCTTTTAACTGGATTGCCTTCCTATGGGGCAGCAGCAGACGGGAGACAGGAAGGCCGCCATGCCAAAAGCCAAAGGGTTTGGTATCTCAGGGAGTGGGCAAGGGGAAAGCCCATCCAGGGAAAGGATGGGCAGTGGCAAGCCCTAGAGTGGAACATGGCAGCTAAGCCTCCGGCACTGCAGGGCTTCCCCTAGTCCTGCTGCTTCGGCCTCCTCTGCCCTGAATCTCACGCTTTTCTGTGTACATGCTCTAGCACGGCGAGTTCACTTCTCTGTTATGTTGCCACCTGAAGCACTGGAAATGATACTGTCCCACATAACATCCTTG